GGCGGGGCGGCCGTCTTTGCGGGGCTGAAGGCAGGGGCATGGGAGGCGTGGTGGGAACTGGGTGGGGCCTGCAAGGGGGCAGAGTCATTCTGAGCCAGGCACCTACCACCTAAGTACTAGGATCCCACAGGACACGTTGAGTCAGGGCCCAATCGGGGGGGGGGCAGAGTAGGAGGATTCTCCACTCCTGTCTACCTAGAGATGCCAGTCAATCAGTCCCCAGACGGCTCTTTCACACTCGTCCTCCCCCCTTGTACCCCACACATTCCGTGCATACTCCACAGGGCTTACTTACCTTTATCAAGCCCCAAGAAGAGTCAGAGGAGCTATTTGCATCCTGACCTCACCCTATTCAGTAGGCACTTCAGCCCTTTCGCTTTAGCAGATACTTGAACCTCACATAAATGAACCAACTTGCTTAGGGGTCACACAGCAGTTCAGCGACAGAGCTGGGTTTTAGTCCAGGCCTGCGGAATGCCGAAGCCCTCAGGGCACAGGACACCTCGTCTCGCTGGGAGCTTGCCAGAGCCCAGCCAGAGGGAACTGAGCCCTCCACATAGCCTTGGGCGCAGGAGGCCAAAGAGCCAGTGCACTCCGAGCAGCGCTGGTGGTTCCTGGGCTGCATGTGGGGTTTTCTGCCTAGAGCCAGGCCTTCACTATGAGAGGTGCGGGGTCAGGCAGGAGACGCTCAGAGGCAGCAGCCAGGCTGAGAAGAGATGGAAGACTGTACGTGGTCGAATGTGGGCGGGGGGCCGAGGGCGTGGCTTTGAGGGGCTGGCTTTAACCTGGGTGTAGGCCCTGAGCAGGCAGAAGAAGCTTTGCTTTACCCAGAGCAGGATGGGGCATCTCAGCAAGCTGGGCCAGGCAGCCCTGAGGACCCAGAGTGACTGTGGCTTTGTCCTCTCTGCCTCTGCACAGTCACCGAGTGGCTCCTGGGCAGTCACCGGGCCCACGCCATCATCCTGGAACACTGCTTTTACTCTGTGGGTGCCGTGGTCCTGACGGGGCTTTCCTACATCCTTCCCCACTGGCGGCTGCTGTTTCTGGTGGGCGGGGTGTCTACGTTCCCCCTCGTCTTCTACATCTGGTGAGCAAGGGGGCACGAGCATGCACGGGGCTGGGCATCTGGGCCAGAGACTGAGGGGCATGGGGGGCCCCTGAAGGGAAGTATGTGTGGATGTGTCAGAGAGGTGGTCAGAAGACCAGGAGAGGGAGAGTGACAAAGGACCAGGTTTGTTGGAGAGGTTTTATTTTATTTATTTTTATTTATTTATTTATTTTTGCCAT